TCAATGTGAGATTTATTCTCAACATATATAATATAACTAAGAATAGAAGAGAGAGACGATTCCACGTGACGCGACGTACAAGTTGAATGAATGAATGTTGAAACCCCTTATGCATTTCTATTATTTACCGTTTTGTACTCGTTGTAGAGAGAAATCATTACTCATGCTTTCTTTGTATCAATAACGCTTCTTTTTGTATATTAGTTATTTTTAAGACTCATTGTAAGCTGTTTTATGTTCATCTGAACTTTGTTAAATAAATTACTCTACGTTTGGAAAAGAAAAAGGCATTCACATGGGTGGTGGTGCTCTCTAGTCTCTGCATTCGTTGCTAGCTATGGTCAAATTTTGTGTGTTGAATTAAGTACCGAGTATACTACATCGTATCAGTCCAGAATTCCTTTCGCACTCATGATATAGCTACCAATCCATTTTATTATCTTTAAAATAAGGGGAGTGTTATTGGCACTTAAAAAATCTAATTCTACACTTCTTATAAGTGTATTTTTCTTTCCTAATATAGAAAGTTTGGAGTGTAGAATGAGATTTTTGAAGTGCTAATAACAATTCCTTAAAATAATTTTAATTATTCTTTAATTTATCGGAAAAATCATTCAGTGTAGTAGTACTGATTCATTTGTGTATGGTCTTTGCTTAAGCTTAGCTGTGATCATATCAGGTAAGTATGCATGTGGGGATAGATATATAAATCGGATCATGTCAGTGTCACATGGATTATGCTTGTGTCGTCTTATGGGAGACTTACTTGTCTCTCTACTACCGAATTAAGATTAACAAATTTTTACTTTCCGAACATTATAATTGGAAGGAGAAACTTAATATGAGTCCAATTTTATGAGCCATTATTAGTTATAGTTCAATTTTGTTTTAAATTTTAGGTTAGGTCTAGTGATTTATTATCCACTTAAGATTATTTGTATTTTCTTGCCAAATTTACCCTCAAATTGACTAATTAAGTAATTACTGTTTTTTTAATTTGTGATTAATGTTAATCTTATCCTTAATTATAGATTAGGGATTGAAATCTCTTTTTTTTCTTCTCATTTCTCCAACCATTAATTTCTCTTTTCTTGTTTCAATTCTCTTTTCTTGTTTCTCCCTCACAATATCTTTCTCTTCCTGTGTTATTTTGCCGAGTAATCTTCTTCCATAACATTCCTTTTCTCCTCCTCTTCCATAAGAATGATCAATATACATTTGATTGGTTAAAAAAAAAAAATTGCATTAGTGTTTTGGATTCTTCGTGTTTTTTTTTTTTTTTTTTTGCTTCTTTTTCCTTTATATATATATATATATATACTGAAGTTCTATCGAATTAGCATTTTCTCTAGTGTTTTCTCCCTCAATATCATTTTTCTTCCCGATTTTTTTTGGTTTTATCTATCTATATCACTTGTCCTTTTTTTTTTTTTTTAATATTATAATGTACATGTATCATGAATAATTGTATTTATCTACCTATGTATATTATATATTTTGTTGATAATTTAAGATTAATTGTGTTTATCTACCTGTACCAAAGGATTTTTTTTTATATTACTCTCCGCATATTAGAGATTAATTGCATTGCCTACCTGCATCACAGATTGGTTGCATTATCTACCTACACTATAGTTTAATTAGATATTATTTAAATATATCTTCGTGACATATTTTGTATTTATGTACCTATATCATAGGTTTTTTTCTTTTTGTAATCTACTTTTATCAAGAATGTGTATCACAGTAGATTTTGTTGTTGATAAATATGCCATGAATTTTAATTTTAATTTTTTTCCTTGGATATTGAATAGATTAAAGGCTTTAATGATTCAAAATTTGGATAAATCAAGAAATTTAAATATATTTTCATTTAGATTATAAAAGGGTAAAATAGACATAAAAAAATCAGTTGAACCTAAACTGATAAGGCACATGGAATTGGACTCAATTGGAAAGTAGCTCAATTTTTTGGACTCGGATCTAAATGCCTCTAATTGGAATCATTATTTTTCTTTATTATCATCTAAAGATCTTCTGTCAAAAATCATTCAATTCAGAGATTGTTTAGTCATCTACACATGTTAAATCAATCAACGATTTTGGTATTAATTATTATTATTATGATGAACTGTCATTTTATTTTATGCATATATATGCATGGCTAAAAATCTCCAAATTGACTATTTTTTTTTTTTTGACAATATGATTTTTAAATGATGATAATGAGAATTAATTGTTTCGTTTATGATGTTTAGACGGTAAAAATTTGTTAATCATAAGTTAGATGACAAATATAGAGACACAAGCATTATCCTTGTCACATTGATTGACGAATGGAATGGCCCTAGCTTATTTTATTTTTTGGGTTAATTAGTTTCACATCGACAATGCTTCTCTCTCTCTCTCTCTCTCTCTCTCTCTTCTTTTTTGTATATAATAAAAAGGCCGTGATGTAATTCCATCAAACTTCGTAACTATTAGTGCGTGTCATCTTAATTCTGATAGTGCACTCAGCAACTGCAAGGGAAAATTGAAACTTGAAAAGTGAATTATGATGATCAGGGCTTATAATAATATTAATGTTAAAATTAAAGTTACTTTTTTAGAAGAACCTCGAACGTTTCACCAAGAGGAGCCGAATATAAATTCAGTACAACAACAAACCCCAGAAAAGGAGGGTTTTACATTTGGAGAGATTTTTTTTTTTTTATGCGCTCGGTATACGAACAATATTACATTTCATGCCATAAATGATAATTTTTTTTCAAATACTTCTTTACTTATATTATGATATATAATATATTAGACCGTATGTCGAATACATTAAAAAATTTATCCTGCAATTGACACATAAAACCAACAATTCCTCCCGACTCTTCATCGAGCATCAAGACGCGTTCTCTGTTCGTAAAAGTTAAAAGTTGTTAACAAGCTAGATAAAGGCTTAAAAGCTATGAAAATAAATGATAACTTTTGACTAGCTCGATCACTATTGCGACATGCGTGCAGATTGAAAAAGCTTTGTTTATCGTTTTCTCATGCCATCTTTAACTATTAAAATCTAGCTTTATTTTGTACGAGCACTTTCCCAACATTTGATACCCTAACTGATCATGCATGCATGCGTAGTCTTGTCTCGCATACGTACGTGCTTGGGTTACTTTGAGTTAATTTGTCCTTAGTTTTCCTTTTTACAAGTCTTTACACATATATAAAAGGCATGCAAAACAAATTAATTATAAAGAAAAATGCATGCTTTAGCGAAGTCATGGTCGCCAAGGAAAATAAGAATGAAATGATCATCATGAATTCAAGTTCCATGCCAGCTTGCTGTAGCAATCAATATATAAAGTAGAAGATTAATTAAGCTGAATTAATAGACATAATTGTTCATGTATATTAATTACTGTTTGGCAGCATATATGTACAATCACAATTCTCCATGCATGTAGTCATATAATTATAATAAAAACATGTAATGATAGAACAACATCAAATTCAAATGATTTAATTAGGCCTAATTTGATGTAATTATTGATTATTTGTCCTTCATACTCACATTAGAAATAAGAAAGAAACTAATCAAGTCCAACACATAGATTCCACCCAACCGTTGGATTGCCACTTTTCTTGGGTGACAATAAGTTTGAACAATTCCAAACCAAGCCTCTTGGATTGGCCAATAGATTGAAGTCTAACCTGATCTATCCAACCGACTCCCACTCCTACTAGCTAGTTGCTAATGAAGTTGGTAAACGGATGGATATATTTACCAAAAACTGAATTTTAATTAATATAAGTTAATATAATCATCAGTTATAACTTATAGCTTAATAAAATTGTATAACAAAAAATAATAAAATAACTTAATGGGAGTTGGGGACGTTATGGAAATGAATTTTGGCACGGTTTTGGCCACAGGCCTTCTGTCCCCAAAATATATGTCTCCTTTATGTCTCTTATTTAATATTACGACACCTGTCCAAAACTTAACACATACTGTTAAATCTTTTATTTTTTGGTTTGGACGTTTCCTCTCTTATGAAAACACCCACTGGTACCAGAACCGTTCCGACGGACTCATCCTCCATATCTTCCGGCCGCCTTGTTCTTCATATCATCAACAAAACAGTGTTGTGTTTATATACCAATGTGACCCCACCTACTCCTGACTCCTCCCCACCTCACCGCCGCCAGCGGGGGCCCACAATTCAAAATGACGATCTCGATTCAGATGGCTTGGCCACCAGTTGCGAGCACATGTCACCAGGAACATCCACTCTGCTAATCTCAACGAATTTGTCAAAACAAGTCATTGGATCTTTCAATATTTCAATTTCAAACTCGTTTTATCTCTCCATCAATCAATTTTTCGGTTATCGTTAATCTCTCTCAAGCAACACAAATTTTCGCTAATTGGATGGGAATAAAAAAATTTGTTATCAGAATTGACATAAATTAAGATGCAATAAGTCAAGCAACTCAGGATGGGTTGGGTCAACTGGAAAGATTGGAAAACATTCTGTTTGAATCCGAAATTGTAGAATTTGAGTTTCCAATATATATCAATTTCTGAAGGAGACGGCAATAATGAAAACTTGAAAAAGTGGTTTTGCTCTAACCCGTGGTTGCAAAGGAAGAAATAACAGTGTTAATTCTCTGTTAAGTGTTGGACAGGTGTCTCAAAATTACCGAAGAGACACCAAGGAGACATTTATTTTGGAGACAGCAGACCCGTGGCCCACGGTTTTATTGGTCAAGGATCTGGAGATCCTGTGATCATGACCGTTTATTATATATCATGCAGTCATAAATCATTTTAAATTTTAAATTAAATATAAATGCTACCTAACAAAAATTGACCACATGATGTACGATGAACGGTCATGATCACAGGATCTCCGAATCCCCATGATCCGGCAGGATCCTTTTCCGGTTTTTTTATAAATGGATACCGTTGCCCTGGTCCCGCGGAAATCTCTGGCCCTCACCTCATTCTCCCTCTCTCTCTCTCTCTCTCTCTCTCTCTCTCTCTCTCTCTGTTATGCTCTTTCTTTGAAATTCGCTCGACCTTATTATTCCATCAATACTTCTTCTGTATTGTTCCCTTTCTAATCCTACTCATCTATCTCCTAGAAAAGAAAAGAATGCTGCTAATTTTTTCTTTCTTCTATTTGGTTGCTGTAGTAGAATTTAGATTGTTCTCTTGTCTGACAGAATACAAGAAGTCAGTTGGCAACTTGCCCGGCCAGCCGCCTCTTGGTAGAGATCACCTCATCACCAGTGGGAGAAATCAAAAGAGTTAACAGGATTTTAGGACGTCAGTGTTGTGCCAGCTGCATTATTCCAGGCTAGCTAGCCTGTCCTGAATTAAGCTTTCTTCTCAATGCACGCAGCAGCTGGCCTTTTATATATATAATCGATCGAGTTCAAGTGCTCATCAATTAAGAAAGATGTTCTTGATCGATAGAGCGGATCAGTTTAATCAGTTTGTGATTATGTTATGAATCAAAGCTAGTAAAGTTTCTGTTTCCTCAAAATCCATAAAAAAATTGCGTGAGTGCATAATCAAAATATTAATTCGTCTTCTCCTCCTCTCCTCACTTATGTCTTTCATTGTGATTTTTGCTGCTGCTTTTTTTATTTTTTTATTTTTTTTTTAACCTAATAAGATTCAAATCACCTTATCATTTTTAATTAATTAATTAATTTTCACTTTCGGTTTGAAGTATTGTTTGTGTAGAAGAATATATGATCATGTCATCTTCTGTACTGACACGAATAGGACGACAGCGACAACGATATGACAATAATTTCACGTCATATATATTTGGATTATTCTTTAATTTTTACTGTTGCCTTGCCTTTCGTTGCTTTTTTTAATCAGTCATGTTTTCCATTTAATTAAATTGTCTTTTATCTCGATCGGTTGCCTTCAAATTGAAAAACCTTTGGTAGGAATAAGCTCTTGTTTCGTAATGAAGTAAAAATAATTTGATTACTGAGAAATAATAATATAATTATATAGTAAAGCACCAAAAGAAAATACAAACAAAAGTATATTTTTCTCATGTCCCGACCACCGGCAATAGCATGCATATACAAAGGTATCTTTTTCCCATGTCCGGATCGACCACCGGCAATAGCATGCGTATACCTTGATAATTGACTTTCTTCTTTGATGGAACCAACTTGTCTTGATCTCTCACCTGTCCGTTCCATTTCTTCAAAATATAGACAAATTTTTTTATGTATTTAGAATATGAGCCGGTATATTACGTGTCATAAAACAAATAAATAAACACTTGGAATTTTTTTTATCCACTTGTATTATAACACGTGGTGTACCAACCGACCTATGTTCTAAGAACATTATCTCTCCAAAATATACGACTAATAGTGTGCCTTAGCATGCATATGTATATAATTTTTTTTAAACCTCGACGGTACGAGAGAATTTTATTGATAACGAAATAAAAGTTACACCTAGTCTGGAGGGGGCATAAACCTTACATTTCTAGAAATGCAAACAATAAAGATAAGGAAGAGAGAGGGGGCGGGGGAGACATGAAATCTAACCCCTCTAACACCAAACTTAAAAGTCTAAACTTGCAAAACAGATTAAGCAACATCACAAGGATAAGAAGGAAAAAGAAAAAGAAAAAAGTTTGTCAAACCTGTATGCCAATATGCAAATTAATTTGAGAAATGGTAGCCGGAAAAGTCTTAGCATGCATATATATTATGGCTTCAATTTCTTTATGTTTAAGGATTTGAGTGATATTTTTTGTCCCATTTTAAGACTTTCTAAATCACAAAATCGTAATGATAATTATATAGGGTAATGCTAGGGAGACTAAATTTGTTGACAAAACTTAGGAAACTAAATGACATGGAAGTTGATGATTAGTTTATTATTTAACCATTCATAAATGTGCTCATTCATATTGGTGACGTCATCATTTAGTTTGCAAAATTTATTTATAAATTTAGTTTTTCTAGCATTACCTAATTACATATATACACAATACGGGTAATGCTAGGGAGACTAAAATTTTAAACCAAATTTGTAAACTAAATGATGTGTCACCAATAAGAAATAAACACGTTAATCAATTCTTAAATAATAATTCAATCATCAACAACTACATCATTTGGTTTGCAAATTTAGTTTAAAAAATTAGTCTCCCTAGCATTATCTACACAATATACATACATCACCTATTACACAAGCTTGACCTTATTTCTTAATTCCCTAGTAAATTAAGAATTACACAGCGAGCAACTAGACTCAGATGCCACCACAACTGCTACCACCGCCACTACTGTCGCCCCTACCTCCATCGTTACCTCTGCGCCCTGACCACCGCACACCACTATACACTATATTGGCACCATAGTTGCCGGTTATGGTCCTTCACCATCCAAATCCCGTATCAGTACTGCCGAATCGATTCGGTGGCAATTCGGTGGTAAATTCGGCTCATTCTCTCAGATTTCTCTCTCGAATCGGTGGTGGTGGCTCCGAAAGTGGAAAAGGTGAAAATGGTGGGAATGGAAAAGGGATTTATGAGAACTGGGCTAGGGAATGTGTAGATGTGGGCCCAATTTGAAAATTTTGTTTTATTTAATATTTTTTATTTTCAAATCTTTACTAATTAATCAAATTCACTTTGTTAATCAAAAGAAGATAAAAAATAAATTGACTTTTATCACACACAAAAAAATGATGGGCAATAATATAATTTCACAGGTTTAAATTTTAGGGAGTTTTAACTAAAAGGCCGCGGTACTCTTCACTTTAATGAAAAATCATATTTTTACACTAAAAAGTCAAACCTAATACTATTCACTTTACCCTTTATTTTGTCTTTATCGTTAAAGCTTAAAGTTTTCAAATCATTTCATTAGTTTTCCTTAAATTTTACTATTTTTTTTATTGAAACCTACCTATAGGTAATGTTAAAATATCTCCAATATAAAAAAAAAAAAAAAAAACTCCCACACCCCCACGTTCTCTCTCTCTCCTTTTAATTTTTAAAAAAAATGTGTTCATAAACATAAAATGTGTTGGTAAATGCTAGTATTTATAATGATAACATGTTTTATTAGTTTTTTGTGCTCACATCCATGAAAATATTTTATATTAAAATACAACTTTCGTTTTATCAACATGAAAATATTTTATATTATTATAAGAACATTTTTATTATTTTTTATTAAACCAATTCAGTAAATTAATTCTTTTTGACGTGTTTTCATCTTTTGATGATAATAACTATACAATATAATTGTAAAATGTATAATTACAATATTTTTATGTTTCTACCGAATTCCGTATTCGAATCGAACTGCGAACTCGAATCGTACCCGTATTCTTATATGTATGAATCGTTCAAATATTATTTATATTATGTTATTAAACATTATATGTTTTTTCCTTTATTATTACAGGATGCTATGGTGGAACAGCGCACTACTGTTCTCCAAGAAGCAACATCACAACTTCCCCCGGAGACCTTGATCGAGGACGCCACGATACCCGAGGATGCAGGTTTTCAGATCCTGACTAATGTCATGGATCAAAACTTCGGTCGTCGTCCTGGCAAAGTTGTTCGGGGTATGGGAAAAGCGCGAGTTCGTGAGACGGGTGCCTCTTCTTCCAAATCAAACACAGGAGAGGTCAGTGCATTGAAGGAGGAAGTGACAACCCTAAAGGGTTAACTTGCGGTCCAGAGTGAGCAAATGAGGGCCCGGGACAAGCAGATGAGGGCCCAGGGCGAGCAGATTAAGGCCCAGGGCGAGCAGGTGAAGGCCTATGCCGGACACATGAGAGACCTTGTACGAGCCATACAGATGTCCGGCCTCCAAATCTCACTACCAGTACCTGATCTTCCTACACCTTCGACTTCTGAGCCACTTTGCCCTACCGATACCTAGTAGCTTGATGTATCAAACCTAAAAGACTACTTGTAGTTTTTTCTTATTTTTTTGTTTGGACATTTTGTATGTATATTTTCATATATTTATAACTAAATACTTTTCGTTGGTTAATTAATTATCGTTTAGAGTTTAATTAAGATATTTATTAAAAATTAAAAAAATATTTTTTTTGACCAAAACAAAAAAAAGAGGTTTGCGCGACGTAGGTAGAATCTTTGTCGCGCCAACCTCTTTGCGCGACACAAAACTCTACGTCACCCAAAGTGGCTTTGCGCGACGCACGACCATACGTCGCGCAAAGCCACTTCGCGCAACGTAAAAGCGTGCGTCGCTCAAAGAGGTTGGCGCGACGTATGTAGAATCTTCGTCGCACAAAGTGTTTGCGCGACGTAGGGGATGCGTCGCGCAAAGACACTTTGAGCGACGTATTATTACGTCGCGCGAAGCCACTCTGCGTGACGCATCCCCCTACGTCGCGCTAAGCCACTTCGCGCAACGTAAAAGCGTGCGTCGCGCAAAGAGGTTGGCGCGACGTATGTAGAATCTTCGTCGCACAAAGTGTTTGCGCGACGTAGGGGATGCGTTGCGCAAAGACACTTTGAGCGACGTATTACTACGTCGCGCGAAGCCACTCTGCGCGACGCATCCCCCTACGTCGCGCTAAGCCACTTTGCGCGACGCATCCTTCTACGTCGCGCAAAGCCACTTTGCGCCACGTAGGGGGAATCTTCGTGGCGCAAACCCCTTCTGTCACTGCCTTGCCGCGACGGTTAGTGCGCGACGAAGGTGCGTTGAGCTAAGTTTTGCGCGACGGTTTTTGACTTTGCGCGACGAAGGACCTGCGTCGCGCAAAGTGTTTTTTGTACTAGTGACTGATAAGGTCTCAGTCAATGAACGTTGTAAACTAGGGCTTGAATACTAATTTTTCATACAATGTATTACTCATAGAGCTAGGTTGTAAACTAGGGATTGAATACTAATTTTTCATACAATGTATTACTCATAGAGCTAGGTTGTACTTGTACGTGTTGCAACAGACGCATTCCTTACCGGATAACAGAAAACTACGAAGATGATGTTGAGAGTGGTGATATTGAGTACAGGATACAAGTTCTTATGGTTTCTTCACCAGACCGCCATGACAGAGTCTTCCCAAAAGTATACATACATCATCTTAATATATACTTTATTAATTAATTAATTTTTCCAAATTAATATCAATATTAATTCATGATTTGCTGAATGTTTTTCGTTTAATTAATGAACATCAAATGTGTGTGTGTTTGTGTCTTAAATAGGGTGGATGGGAGGATGATGAAACTGTTTTAGAAGCTGCTTGTCGGGAAGCCTTTGAGGAAGCAGGGGTCAAAGGAAATCTAAGAGTATGTACTTAGATCCATTAATTGATTATTAGGAAGTTATTTAATTAAGCTTGAGCTTTGCCAATGTTCGTGTGATAATCACCAACAATATGTAGTTTGTTTGTTTAATTATTTGTTCTCTCTATCAGGAAACTCCGTTGGGAGTATGGGAGTTCAGAAGCAAAAGTCGAGAGGAGATATGCAACCTCAGCCTGGAAGGTGGATGCAGAGGATATATGTTTGCATTAGAGGTCACCCAAGAGCTTGATACCTGGCCAGAGCACCAAAACCGTGACAGGAAATGGGTAATTAATTAGTACTAATCAAAGTAGATATTAATTAAAGGGTATTTCTTCTAAGCTAGTACTCATGAACCATTGGGAGTGGGAGAGATTAATTAGCTAATTAATTAATTAATGAGTATGGATACAGCTAAGCATAAAGGAGGCATTTAGAGTGTGCCGGTATGAATGGATGCGCAAAGCGTTGGAGCAGTTTCTGAGAGTCATGGGAGGAGGACTAGTACTTTCAGTTTGTGATGATAATGATAATATTGATGATGAGGATGGAAAAGTGAAAGTTGTGGAGATGATGATGGGATCAGAAGATGAGATGAAATTAGGAGGAGAGCTGCCACCTCCGGATTCTACCCTGCAGCCGCCCTTGTCAGATGTGGAACATGTGATGGCTGAATGTAAAATAGTGTCGTCAAACTGCTACATAAAGCCAGCTTCTTCTTCTTCAAGTGCTAGTGCTAGTCAACTGGTGATATCAGTTGATTATCATGGCACTTGGCTCTCAAGGACAAGGTGGGGTTGCCATTGATGGCATGCCGCATGCATATGACTATCGATCGAACATATATATATATGTGTGTGCGCGCGCTGCTGCCAATTAAATTGGCAAATTGGCATATGTGATGTTCAATTTCTCGGCCTAATAGTGACCCTGACTAAATGTCAAAGCAAAAGCCAAATTGTTTGATAAAACTTTCTCCATCGATCAAATATCATATAAATTGTCATGACAGTGCAACTTTTAAATGCTTCTTTCTTATTAATAAATAAATAAATAGATATGCATGTGCAAATTCATGCAAAGATAAAATATCAGTAGAAAGTTTTAACTTTTAATTTATCTCCACTCCAAATTCCAAGATTCACTCATACTGTAGCGGTCTGATTTTTTTTTTTTTTAAATTTAGAACGAATGAGGCAAATAAGCCATGAGGAGAGGAAACATGACTGGAGGAAGGATTTTTGTGTAAATTTAATTGGGTCATCGATCTTCAGCCCATTAGTCTAGAGAAAAGGGAAAATAGTCCACAACGATAAACAATCAGCTGCATCATCATCCCCCCTCATTTGCTAATTCGGCACAACCCCTAACGTCCATAACAATAAGCAATCAGCTACTTATCATGCCCCCTCATTCATTTGGCCCAATCCCCAACTTACCATGATCCAGTATACCCATAATCTTAATAAAGTTGGTTAAAAATATTCAAAATTTCTTGTTGATGAGTGGGATTTTTTTTTTTTTTTGAACAAAAGATATCAGTATGCCAATGATCTTAATAAAGTTGGTTGAAAATATTCAAAATTTATTGTTGATAAGTGAGACTTTTTTTTTTAACAAACGATATCATCTACACTAAAGAAAAGAGAGTGAAGTTAACCTCACAATGAGTTAGCAATAATGTGATTGAAATTTGCATTTAGCAATAATTGAACTTAAAATCTTTTATTTATAAATGATGAAGAATACTACTAAATCGTACTAAGTGGCGAGTGAGATTTATTTTGTTAAGAAGGAAATAGACACACGCATTGGACGCGCATGGAAATAGACTGACTTTCAGAGTGACAGACAGGTGGCGCAGAGATAGTGGGGGGATTCAGGAGGGAAGCGAAAGAAGAGAAATATGCCTCCCCGCCCCAGATGAGAGCAGATGGCAAAATCCCTCCCTCCCTCCCTCCACTCGTCGTAATTATTTCAGGAATTAGGGATTTATCATTTAGGTGGCAAGGAAGGGATGCCAAAATTTTTAAGCTTTATAATTAGTTGATATAATTTCAATCATACCAAACTAGACGACTAGAGCAGAGTCCTTGCAACCTAATCTAAAAATCTGAAAAATCAAATGCTTTCTATCTTTCTTCTTCTTATAAGATAAATATAAAGGTGCTCAGTTTGAAGTGTTTAGTTACAGACAGACAGACAGACGGACGCAGAGTAGAGGTGATGAGGTGTTGAGAGCCTCCATGGAGATTGAGATGGACAGCTTATAGCTAGTTGTTTTGTAGAAGAAGAAGCCTAGCCTAGCCTCTTCAGATTAGGATTAGGAATTTAGGATTAGGCGGCGATGGAGCCGGACTCTGCAATTTCGACGCCCTCCCGGAATCCTCCTCCTCTTCCTCGTCGTCAGGGTACTTGCTGCTGATGCTTTCTTTTCCCTATTCATTCATTCTTTCTTATTACTTTTGCATTCATTCATTGATTCTCTGCTGCTGTTTGGATTGATTTGGTTCTGTCTGTCTAATATCTATCCTCTCCACACTCGCCCAAATCCTTACCTATTTCATTTCATTTCAATTCAGTTCAATTCAATTCATTTGAGCACTGGTCGATCCGCATGTATGTGTAACAACTAAGTAGCAAATGAGATTCTGTTAACTAGTTGTAATTTGGAGATCTTAAATACAAATTACAAATTCTCAATCTTGTCTCGCACTTTTCGCCTTAAAGAAGAAGTCGGTTTTTGCCAACTAGTGCAGTGTGGTTTATATTTTAAATCGTTATTTCCTCAGGAGGATTTGTTGTGTGCTTGTACCAGCACTCATTGAGTGGCTTTACGTTCTTATCAGTGGATACCTAGGCCCAAATATATAAATAATTGAGTTTGACAACGACGAGAAGTAATGGAATGCCTCATTCAATCACTTCCATATCAACTAGTTGGCATATAAGTATAGTTTGTGTTCTCTAGTTAAGGATTTAGGCTTGTAATCATTTTAGATATGGATTCTTTCTCCTATGCCCTGGGCTGAATGTGATTCATCTGTTACTTACCGACTAGTGTAACCAATTAACCACTTGTTGCTTTGCAGCTTTCATGGGTGAATCTCTCCAGAAATCTCATACTTGCATATCAAAGCCTTGGCGTGGTTTATGGGGACCTTAGTACTTCTCCTCTCTATGTTTATACTAGCACATTCACAGGGAATCTGCACAACCATAACTCTGAGGAAGTGATATTTGGTGCATTTTCCTTAATCTTCTGGACCATTACACTGGTACCCTTGCTCAAGTACGTCTTTATTCTATTGAGTGCTGACGATAATGGTGAAGGTGTGGTGACACTTGAATTTTGAATACATCCTTTGTGTGACATCTCATACTTGCTTCTTATTGGGTCTCCAAAGGGTCAATATTTATTCTAATTCGTCTCAGGTGGGACTTTTGCGCTTTACTCGCTGCTTTGCCGCCATGCAAAGTTTAGTTTACTTCCCAACCAGCAAGCAGCTGATGAGGAGCTTTCAGCTTACAAATACGGTCCTTCATCACAGGTTGTAAGCTCTTCCCCATTAAAGAGATTTTTGGAGAAGCATAAAAGGTTACGGACAGCCCTACTAGTGGTGGTATTGTTAGGCACTTGCATGGTCATAGGAGATGGCGTGCTCACTCCAGCAATTTCAGGTACGGTACTAAGTTGTAGAATAATTGTTGGTGTTGAATACAGTCTATATTCATCTAATGTTAGTAAATCACCCATTCCAGAACCCCGAGACAGATGAGAAAAAAGAACAAAAAACTTATGATAACATTATTAAGTTGTCTTGCCCCTTGGGGAATATCCAATAAAATTGGGGCTCCAATCCCTGTAAATACGAGGAAGATGTATACATGTACAATTCGCCGCATCCAATACACTTCTGAATATATTCCTACTATTCATTTAGTAGAGCCACTTAATAATACCATGTCTGTCAGTCTTTCTGTTGTTTGTTGATACGCTGATTGTTTTATGCTCAAATGCTGATAAGTTTTCAGTAAGCTCTACCTAATAAAATATTTTGTCTAGGCAAACCCAGATTGTTGATATTTATTATTTGTTTATAAAATAATGTTTTCACACTTCCCTTGATTAAGGAGTTAAATCTTCGAGCATTTCTTTTTCACGTGCAGTTTTATCATCGGTATCAGGGTTACAAGTTACAGAAGAGAAATTAACTGATGGTAATTCATGATGCCTGTTCTATATCTTTGAGCATTTCTTTTTCACTTTCAGTTTTTTCTTATATCTTTTTTATAAACGAGTTTGAAATTCATGATGCCTATTCTATATAGTTCTCTGTGTATCATATAATTGGCTTTGCTTTTGATACTAGGTGAACTCCTCTTGCTGGCATGTGTCATATTGGTTGGCCTGTTTGCTTTGCAGCATTGTGGCACCCACAGGGTAGCATTTTTGTTTGCACCTATTGTAATAATCTGGTTGATATCGATATTTTCCATTGGGCTGTACAACACAATACAGTGGAACCCAGATATTGTTCATGCATTGTCGCCCCATTATATTATCAAGTTTTTCCATGAGACTGGTAAAGATGGTTGGATTTCTCTTGGTGGGATTCTTCTCTCAATAACTGGTACGCTGAATTCGAAAATTGATGGAAATTTTTTACATATAAATAATATATTTACTGGTTGTTGTACTGGTGTAACTATCTGTACGAGACCTCTTTGGGAAAGTTATCTTAGCCCTGGAGTAACAAGAAGTTATCGTACTGGTGTAACTATCCATACGAAACCTCTTTGGGAGTTTTATCTTAGCCCTGCACTAATAAGAAGTTATCAACACCGTTAATTTCAAGGTCTGCTCTTGCATGCTTGCTATTTTAAGTAAACTGACTTTTAGGCATCTGCATGTTTATCAGGTACTGAAGCTATGTTTGCAGATCTTGGTCATTTCACTGCCTTATCGATAAGAGTAAGTTTATTATTTATCCTCTGATAACCTTTTTATATAAAAGAAATATGTGGTTTGTTTACTCTACCCACTCTAGCTTTGTACGCCCTGATCATTGTGATATGGACTGTGAAATTTCAAAAGTGAGAATATTTTTTTTTATTTTTTGGCTCGTGCTTGTGCAGCTTGCGTTTGCATTTGCTATATATCCTTGTTTGGTGGTACAATACATGGGTCAAGCTGCTTTCCTGTCTAAACATCCTGGCTCCATTCGTTACAGTTTCTATGACTCCATACCCGGTTAGTTCATCCTAACATTTATCAATATTGCTTTCCAGAATTTTGTTCTAAATCAGTGTTGGTAACTTTGCTTTCTGTCCTCCCATATCCGCAAGTTCCTGTATTTTGGCCCGTCTTTGTTGTTGCTACCCTCGCATCAATTGTTGGAAGCCAGGCTGTTATAACTGCTACTTTCTCAATCATCAAGCAATGTCATGCCCTTGGTTGTTTCCCCCGAGTCAAAGTTGTCCACACCTCAAAGCATATATGTGGGCAGATCTACATTCCGGAAATTAATTGGATACTTATGATCCTTACTCTTGCCATAACTATTGGATTTCAAGACACTACTTTAATCGGAAATGCTTATGGTATGTTATTTCTTTGTATCCCCCCCCTCCTCTGCCCCTTAAACAAATTAAGTAAGGATGACAAATTGTTCACTTTTGGTTCTCAGGACTTGCTTGCATGATGGTTATGTTTACCACGACATTCCTTATGGCACTGGTAATAATCTTTGTTTGGCAGAAAAGTGTGGTCCTGGCTGCGATTTTTCTGATTTTTTTCTGGTTCATTGAGGGAGTGTACTTATCAGCAGCACTCATTAAAGTACCTCAGGGAGGATGGGTCCCTTTTGTTCTCTCGTTCATCTTTATGATTGTTATGTATGTCTGGCATTATGGTACGCGGAAGAAGTATAACTATGATCTGCACAACAAAGTCTCGTTAAAATGGCTACTTGGTCTTGGCCCGAGCCTTGGTATCGTCCGGGTGCCTGGGATAGGTCTCATATACTCAGAGTTGGCAACAGGAGTTCCTGCAATATTCTCTCACTTTGTAACAAATCTTCCTGCATTCCACAAGGTGTTGGTTTTTGTTTGTGTAAAATCAGTTCAGGTGCCATGGGTTTCACCTGAGGAACGATTTCTGATTGGCCGGATATGTCCAAGACCTTATCGTATGTATAGGTGCATTGTGAGGTATGGGTACAAGGACATCCAACGGGATGATGGGGACTTTGAGGACCTGCTCATACAGAGCATAGCAGAGTTCATCCAGATGGAAGCGGGGGAACCACAATTCTCAAGCCCAGAAAGCACATCATTTGATGGAAGGATGGCGGTTATAAGCACGAGGACGGTGCAATCAAGTTTGAGCTTGGTAGCTAGTGAACAAGAGGGTTCTGGTGTGGGGGACTCCATCCAAAGCAGCAAATCTTTGGCCCTGCGGAGTATGGGATCAGTGTATGATGATGAGAACCCACAAATGAGGAGGCACCAAGTGAGGTTTCAGGTGCCGTCAAATGTGGGTATGGATCCTGCAGTAAGGGAAGAGCTGATGGATTTAATCCAGGCCAGGGAAGCAGGGGTTGCGTATATAATGGGGCATTCATATGTGAAGGCGAGGAGGTCGTCATCATTTCTGAAGAAGCTTGTGATTGATATGGGGTATTCTTTTCTTAGGAAGAACTGCAGGGGCCCTGCCGTGGCGCTTAACATTCCTCACATCAGTCTTATCGAAGTTGGGATGATATACTATGTCTGATGGAATAGATGTTATTGCTCCTAGGCTAGGGGGAAGAAGGACAAATAATCGAAAGGGCAGGGTACATATCTGCGCTTTGCTTTTGTTCCAATTTGTTGGAATTTCTGTCGTCGTTTTTATTTGGTAAGCAACTGCAACACCACTTGGCGCCTGGGGTTGGTTTTCAAGTTTCAACTTTATTTTCCCTCTACAACCCTTAACCTTCCTTCTACACTACTTGTACTTGATGTGTCTTCTTACTTTTGCTAATGCTAATAGTGATTTGATAGCAATTTTTGTACGAATTAATCATAAATTAGAAGGAAGGAACGATAGGATGTAGGGAAGGTTTGATGCAGCAGCCAATCCCGATGGTATCTGTTACTACCAGGTGCCAGCGCATGCATATTATAATAATATAATAAGGCTTAATAATTTATTTGCCCCTTGACACCGACTTTTAATCTCATTTTACCCCCTAAAGCTGTTTTTCTCACTTTAAATTCCATTTTCGTCTCACTTAGTCTCAATTCAATCCATTTTCGCCCATTCCATCAAATAAATGTTGAATTAGAGGTAGTATGAACATTTTATTTTTTACACAATTCTTACTTAACAATTCCAATTCTAATTCCATTTTTCGACAACTGTAATTCGTCCGTCTCTCTTGCGGATTGATGCGTAGTTGAGTTGCAACCCTTGGATTCAATGACTAGCTTGAATTAGATTTTGAAGCAAACTCATTATTTGTTTTTTCCAACAGCTGCAACTTCATCTCCACACCAATACGCAAGAGAAACAAACATGGGTTTTAATTAGAGTATTAAAAATGGATTTGAGATTGTTTGGCAGACAATTTGGAGGAAAAGAACAATGTCAAAAGTAAAATTCTATACTACCCCTTTAATTTAACGTTTATTTGATAAAATGGATGAAAATGAGGTGAGTTGGGAATAAGTGAGACGAAAATGGCAGTTTTATGGGACAAAGTAAGATGAAACCAGTTTCAGTGGTAAAGTGAGACTAAATGCAATTTCAGGAGCAAATCAATTAATAAGGTGAACAACAACAACAACAACAACAACAACATTGGGGATTGATTTCTGCACGTTTGAAATTCCTTGGAACTTTGGGAGTTGGGAGGGAAAGTAGCTTCACCTATTTATCTATATCAGCTATATAATGTAATGAGCCAGTTACCAGCACCACCGCCTTCCTCCTACTTGCGACAGTGACTTTAATTGTTAGACTATTAGTCAATTAGACAACAGGAAGTTGGATTACCAACTGAATTAATCCAAACCCATCCTCACCTCAAGTCATCTCATTCATGTGTGCTGTGCTGCTGCTATATGTGTATACACACACACACACACACACATATGCATTAGCTGTTAACAGAAACATCAAACAAATTAACAACACAACAAACAACTGCGTTCTCAAGGAAACTTTGGAAAATGGCCAAGTACCAAAACAATGCACTGGTAATACTAGTGTTTGCCGGCATTATGGCGCAGGAAGGAATGTTAATGGTGGCTGCTGCTCAAGGAGACACGTCTTGCCTCAGTCAGCTTGCTCCTTGCCTCAACTACCTGAATGGAACCCGTCACCCACCCGACAATTGTTGCGATCCTCTCAAATCGTTGATCAAGTCTAATCCACAATGTTTGTGTAGTATGATCAGCAACCGGGCCACCAATCAAGCTGAGCAAGCCGGCATCAATATCAACGAGGCTCAGCAGTTGCCGGGAAGATGTGGTGAACGTGTCAACCCGCTCGCCTGCCTTTCAAGTAAGATTCATTCATCGCACTGATTACCAGCCTTGTCTTACTCTTAATGAATCATGTCCATAGTAAATTAAATTAATTCTCATTAATTATCTGTTTGTCCTCTCCTCACCATCATCTAGTTAGTTACTCTCTCTCTCTCTCTCTCAGCAGGTTCTCCTCCTAGTCGTGCTCCTAGTAATTCCAGGAACTCAGTTCCAAATTCTGTAAACGATGCCTTTTCGTTGCTCTCTCGTGGAAGCGTGGCGGCCACAGCTCTGTCGTTGTCTCTTCAGATTCTTCTATTTATTGGCATCAAATACAACGCATTATTCTAGACGGAACACTTGTGGATATTAGCATATTGCTTGCAATTAGGAAAAGTCTTCTTGTATTTAATTAATGAATTATTCTCCTTCTTCTCTTGCTCTTGTTATATGGGATTATTATTATTATTATTATTATTATTATTATTTCTTTCTAAATACAATTTCTGAGTAGCCCTATATGTTGTGATCGATGCTGAACAAAGATGATTGTGGAGTGATTTTATATGTAGTTCCTTGATGATTAAAGATCAAAGATGATCAATGTAATGAATGGGTGTGGCGTACCACATATATCAAATTTCTTATTGTTTTCACTTTGTATTTTCTAATGTGTTTTTCTTTTAATTTTGACTGCTAGTTTTACTTTACTCGTTCAATCTAACAAATACAAAACTAGAGGATATGTTTGAAGTGAAAAATGGTGTGTAAAAATCATCTCTTTTCTCATTGGTTAATGGTAAGTAATTTAGTATTATGTTTGAAAAATTTTATTTGAACCCAATTGTTGTGTAGAGACACCGAACTAATAAAATCTCTCTACTAAACTACGAAATATGGCCTTTAGACAAATGAAAAGAAAAACTAATACTAGAACCCAAAACCCACCAACTAGCAACAACACATTTTTATCTCTCTACACCCTCTCTATTTTTTTCTCGTGAACCAATTCCTAACGTGCGTGACCACTACTACTGCCCTTCTTTCTTGTTCTTGAGTTTGACTTTTCTGTATCTATTAATTTGCTCATTAGTTTCGTAGCAATTTTGTGATGATCGAACCAACTAGCAAGAAGTATTGAGGTAGCAAGGACCAATGCACCAATTGCAATACAATAGAGTTGTAATTCACTAGTTATTCTAGATGCTAGCCAAATTTGAAAAAAAAAAACCCAGAGGTTATTTGTATTCCTCGGAAACTCCCCCTACTTCACCATTCAATATTTCTTGACCCATTAGAGCAACTCCAGCGTTGGAGCCCTCCCCCCTAGCAATACACTATTCAATCCACCTAATGAACAGTAATTGCCCTTAATGAACAGTAAGTAGCCCTGGCAATAGATTTTGCATCTCCACCGTTACACTTCTATAGCCCTGGCAATAGGCAATAAAATATTAGTATTTTTTTATTTATAAAATTAATACAAAATAATTTTAAATGTAATATCGGATAAGATTTTTAATCGTTGTCGGTGCGCCACGTGTCATTATCCTAAGTATTATTAAATAATACAAAATAAATAATTATAATATGGATTTCTGATAAGATTATTAACCAATCACGTCGCGCCATGTGTCATAATCGGTTCACAATCTTTGAGGATAGATTTCCATCAGATTTTAAACGAATGACGGCATGCCACGTGTCATAATCTGTTAACAATCTTGGATGATAGATTTCCATCAGATTTTTAACGAATGATGGCATGCCACGTGGCATTATGCAGAACCTAATCCTTTTTGAATCCTCTATATAATCCACCATCCATCTTCACAAATCTCACACCAAAATTCTCAAGATCTCTATCATTATTCATAATTTCTGCTTCCTTATTCACAAAAATCAGTTTCAATATTCATAGTTTCTGTTTCTTTCTTTCAATGTCTTCTTCTTCTTCCTCAAGGATGATGTGGGAATTGAATCAGGAAGAGGAAGACTTGTTTAACCAATCAGAATCAATGTTCAATCAGCAGGGGGTAAGAAATGAGAGGGAAGAAGATGATGAGCGTCAAATGAGAGATGACGACGTAAGAAGGGGCAGAGCCTCACATTTCCGTCGAGTCATCCAAGCTACGGCTCAGATCTGCAGGCCCAGGCATTCCGGAAACCTTGATAGAAGCAGGCAACGACGAGGTATGGAACTCTTGGATGATTATTTTGTTCCTAATAGTGCATTCCCTGATACGTACTTTAGACGTCGTTTTAGAATGGAACGACATTTGTTCAACAAAATCATGATTGCTGTTTGCAACCATGATTCTTATTTTGTGCAAAAAAAAGATGCTTTTGGTGCTATGGGTCTACTGCCGGAGCAAAAAATTACTGCTGCCTTGCGGATGCTTGCATATGGAGCATCTGCAGACCAAGTGGATGAGATAACGAGGATGGGGCAATCAACCATTCTTGAGTCCCTGATGAGGTTTTGCGGAGCAATCGAATCTATCTACACCGCTGAGTACCTCCGCAAACCCACACACATGGACTTGGAGCGGCTGTTGAAGAAGGCGGAGATGCGTGGCTTTCCTGGGATGATTGGAAGCATTGATTGTATACATTGGACGTGGAAAAACTGTCCAAGTGCATGGCAAGGCGCTTACGGGGACAGAAAAGGGGCAAAAAGTATCATTCTGGAGGCGGTGGCATCTTTTGATACATGGATTTGGCACGCCTTTTTCGGGGTCCCGGGAGCTCAAAATGACATCAACGTCCTTGCCCAATCCCCAGTGTTCAACGATGTCCTGCAAGGAAAGGCACCAAAAGTTACATATGAGGTCAACGGACGTATGTACGACGGGCCATACTACCTAGCTGACAGCATCTACCCGCGCTGGTCAACATTTGTCAAAATAGTGCCACGTCCGCGGAGTGCGAAGGAAAAACACTTTGCAAGCTGTCAAGAGGGGTGCAGGAAGGATGTGGAGCGTTGTTTTGGTATCCTCCAAGCTCGCTGGGCGATCGTCAGGGGTGCTGCCAGATTGTTTGATGTAGAGTCGCTTCGATCCATCATGATGACGTGCATCATTCTTCACAACATGATTGTGGAAGATGAGTACGATTATGAAGCTGTTGATGAATATGAGCCAAACCCGATGAACAATTCAAGAACACGTATATATTGTGCTCATGACGCCACCGATGACCCCGTGCAACATGAGCCATTACAAAGGGATGGACGTTACAATGAAAGGCTCATTCAACGATATACTGCATTTCAAATGCCAGACATGCACAATGCCCGACAAATTGACTTGATAGAGCACCAGTGGGCATTCAAACAAGCTGAGGATAATTAAGTTCATTTTAGTGTGTTATTTTGAATTTGGTATGTTTATGTTATTTTATTTGGTGTGTTTTATTATTTGGTATGTTTATGTAATTTTTTTATGTTTATGTTTATGTAATTCTTAGTATATGTTTATGTTTATGTTTATGTAATTTTTTTATGTTTATGTTTATGTAATTTTTTTATGTTTATGTTTATGTAATTCTTAGTATGTTTATGTTTATGTTTATGTAATTTTTTTATGTTTATGTTTATGTAATTCTTAGTATATGTAATGTATGTAAAGGACTTTTAATTAGAACGATGAACTTTTAATGGACTTTTAACAACATAAATAACTTACCAAATTAAATAACTTACCAAATTAATTCTTAATATAAATAACTTACCAAATTAATTTGAATAAATATTCATGAACATGGAAACAACATAAATAATACAAACAATAAATAATAAATTACAACCCAAAGTGATTGGAAAATTATGGGCTCCGATTACAAAAAGTACTCTATTCATCATCACTTAACCAATTTGTGCTGCTAGGATGATCTTCTCTTGCGGTGCTAGAACCACCTTGGCTTGCTATTGTTTCTCTTGCACGCCTCCTTCGCACCACGTCCGCTTTCTCTGACTTCCAAAAAAATTTAGAATTTGGAGACTTCCCTTCTAAAGACATGTTCATAATCTCACGGATCTTGTTGAGCTCGTCTTTCTTCTCTAACATGTTCCCTTTCTTGCCTAAGTAGCTCTCTTTCTCTCTCATTAGCATAAAATTCTCTCTCAACAGCTGCTGCTTTTGATGCCTTATCAGCCTTATCAGCCTCATCTTTCGCCAGTTCCCTCGCCAAAGTCAATTCACCTTGGCGAGTAAGTTCTTCCATGAACTTTGCATAATCGTTCTTGGAAGCACTCCCTTTTCTCTTTGAAGCCTTCTTACCTTGAGGCCTAATTGGAAAACGGGTCGAACCCGACGCTTGTTCAGGGAGGGGCGTTTCGGGCACTTCTTCTGCATCATCTGCTCTCTCATGATCGGGTGTAGAGTGTAGAGGGGTGCTGTTCATGTGCACTTCTGGACCAACTGGCACAACTCTAAATTTAGGACAATCTTTGACAATATTCCAACATTCCCACCGGTTGAATGATTTATTTTTGCTTTTGGTTTTGGCAGCGTACCAAGCTTGTGCTTGAAGTTCCTACACAATAAAAATAAGTAACAAATAAATAATACAAATAAATAATTATAATGAAAATAAGTAACTAGCAAATATATACATATATATATATATATATATATATATATATATATAAGTAACAAAGATAATGAAAATAAGTAAGAAGGCTTCAAGTTTAGTAAATAATGAAAATAATTAACAAATAAATATATATATATATATATTTATATATAGATGTCATGTTAATCATAACAAGCAAAATATATATATATATATACATTTTTTTTCTTAATGTAAGTGATATTATACATTAATTTTAATGAAAATAAGTAACAAATAAATAATACAAACAACATAATTATAATGTAACAAATAAATGTAACAAATAAGTAACAATAACATAATTATAATGTAACAAACAAATTAATAATACAAACAACATAATTATAATGTAACAAACAACATAATTATAATGTAACAAATAAGTAACAATAAATAATAAATTTTGTACGTAACAAATAAAGAATACAAACAATAAATAATAATATCTTGTTACCATATCCGAGTAATTTTCCCCCCTTCGAATATTATTACTAGCTTGTGCCAAAGCGTCTCTCCACGTACTAAACGATTGGCTAAGTAATTTCCAACGACTGGACATCGATTCTTTGGTTCTTTGCCCACCAATTTTCTCAAGAAAATTGGTATGAATAAGACTCCACATTTCTCGCAACTGCATCTCATTACCCGTAAGCGAACTATGAGTAACTTCAACCCAGCTAGTACACAACGCAACATCTTCAATGAGCGACCAATTCGTACCTGCACCAGTGGTCATTTTGTTGAAAAAAAATGGATTCAAACTTTGAGACAAAGAAAGGAATGTGATTGAAAGTAGTTGAGAAAATATGAAATTGTTGTGAAGGTAGATGATAATGAGAAGGTATTTATAGAAAAGTAAAAACAATTTTTTTTACAATTTTTTTCAGATTTTTCAGATATTTTTTTGATTTTTTTTGAATTTTTTACAATTTTTTTAAAATTTTTATTCAATTAATTAATCTCTGCCGTTGGATATAAAAAAATTTGAATTCCAACGCTCCAGATTGTGCCACGTGTCACAACGGTAACTTTTCAGATTTTT